TCCTGTACTTGGGTAGGTCTGCAGAGACCTTTCCCGGGTGAGAGCACATCCTGGGCACTGGGAAGAGGACTCGGCCGTGTCTGCGGGGCGGTCACCGTGTCACCCACCGCCGGGAACTTCCATTGGGTTTTCTGACTGCTGTGCAGGGACCTGGTGGGAGTTCCTTTTTTTGAGTCGGAGCCTCACTCTGCTGCCCAGGCTAGAGTGCAGTGGCACGGTCACGGCCACCGCAGCCTCGATCTGCTGGGCTTAGGGAATTCCTCCACCTTAGCCTTCCAAGTAGCTGGAACGACAGGCATGCCTGGCAGAAGTTTCGAGACACGTGCTCTATGGCCAAAATGTTATGCTGGGCCAGACCTTGAAACCGACAGGTAGGGCGACAGTGGTGATGGCGGCTGAGGCTTATAACCTCGCTCTAAAGTCAGAAAACCCAGGGTGAGGGTGTAAGACGTAGAACAGCCCTGGTCTTCCACAAAGAGGGGTGGAAGTGCTGTATCTGGGCTCAAATCTGGACCGAAACCCTGCCGGAGCCGTAGGAATATGTGCTGGAAAGGTCTCTGTGGTTTAGAAGGCTTGTGAGAAGTCAGCCCGTGTGAAGGGGGCAGGTGACTGTTCACAAATCCCAGTGAGAAGACGGGAGTTGGGACAGCGGATTCAAGAGGAGAGGGTGTTGGGGGAGGGGCCAGCAAGGGGACAGTTGGGGGCGGGGAGGTGTACCGAGGGAATGGGAGGTGTGCAGAGCCCAAACCGCTCAGTGAGACTGGTGGTTCCACTGTTCCCACCCTTTTGCAGCCCGTCTTTGTCCAAGCCTCCAGCTGGTGTTCGTTTTCCGCCTTGCATTCTGCGTCAAGGTGTCCTGGGGGAGTCTCTCCTCTACCTCCCTGCAGCTTTTGGAGAGTAGATCTCTGGGTGCGTGGGCGGCAGCTCGCACCCGAAACCCCAGCTCTTGGGGAGGCCGAGGCAGGAGGATTGCCTGAGCCCCGGAGGTCGAGGCTGTGATGAACCATGATGGTGTCCACTGCACTCCAGCCTTGACTCAAAATAAAAAAGGGAGGGAGGGAAGGAAGAAGGAAGGGGATGGAGCTGGCAACTGTCGGTGGAAATGAAGTCGGCAAAACTTCGAGGCGTGCTTGCTTCTGGCTATGGCAGACTCCCTTTTGCTGCTCGTACAGTGAAAAGAACACTGACCTGGAAAGGTCTCTGTTGTTTAGAAAGGTTGTGAGAAGAGTCAGCCCACGTGAGGCTGCGAGCCCAGGCCAGCCCGCCTGCAGCGCGGGGGCACAGGGTCTTCCAGCTCTCGGGACGGGAAACCCCATGACCGCTTTCGACCTGGAAGGACTGTTCTGCGTTGGGAGGACGCAGTGCGCCACCCACTCCCAGCCAGGCTGGCCGAGACCTTACTGGGCCGGGGCTTCGTGTGACCGTGTAACTTTGTGGTGCGATCAAGAACCACACGGTGGCTTAAGCACCTGCATGGTTCTTCCGTGCAAGCAACATCCTCCGGTTCTTCTCTGAACTGGATGAGCTGTGGGCCAGCACCTGCCAGCTGCTCTGGAGAGGCCGCGCACACGCCCCTGAGCGCACACGCGTGCCACTTCTCGCATCCAGGGCCTTGAGTCATTCTTGGGAAGGGTCGACCTGGAATGGAGACAGAGATACGGGGACAGGAGCCCCGTTGGGTTCTGCAGTCTCCTCTCAGCTGAGGAAACAAGCCCAGGGCCATGAGAATCAGGAAGGGTGGGTCAGCGTGGCCAGTGGGGGCCCCCGACCCTCCCCCACCCCGTCGGCACGTCTGCAGGTCCTGAGGACAAGGCGGCTCCTGGCCTGTCTTTCCTTTCTCCCGTCCCTCCAGGCCTGCCCACCTGGCTCCCTCACTGGGTCCTTTGTCTCCTGACTGGCCCCGCCCGCCTGGCTGGCTGGAGCTCCTTAACTGTCGTTATGTGCCCGGTTGCTGGCCAGGAGGACAGCCTCCCCTCAGGCCCCCCCCGGCCTCCCGTGGTCAACAACAGAGAGCCAGGAGGGTGGTTGAAGTGTGTTAGTGCATTGGTAGCACCCACCTTTGCCTCTCGTGGGAAACGGAGGGCAGGTGGGGAGGATCCAGCCTCCGCTTGGCGCTGCTCCCGATTGTGGCGTTGTGTCACAGGCTCCGTGTCATGTTGGTGGTGTTGGGCCTGGCTAGCTGTGTGAGCCCCGGCAGGTTTCAAGGAAGCACGGGGACGTCCGTGCTCTCCCCGGCGATGGCGAGTGCCCCGGCCTCATGACCTGCCTGTCCTGTAACCTCCTGCCACCATGGTCCACCCCAGTCTAGTGGCTTGAAATGGCCTCCGCAGCTTCTCACTCCCTGCGACCTCGCCGGCCTCGCCGGGCGCACCTGCTCTTCACGGTGCGGGCTGGCATGAGTCGGGCAAGGCGGCCTGTGCGCTCAGCATCCTCTGCGGGATTCTGGAGCCCCTGAGGCCTGTGGAGGCGGCCTCCTCATGCCTCACCCCAGCCGGCCAAGCCTCCTCTCGGTGCAGTGCTCCCAGGTCGTCAGACCGGTCTCTGCATATCGCAGCAGCCTCTGGCTTCCAGCCTTCAGCTTCTCCTGAAAGTCCATGTGGCTGAAACCACCTTCCACCAGGCACTGCAGACCAAGAACAACCTGGCCTCCAGAGGAGGGGAGAGGCTCCCCCCACATCCTCTCATTCTCGTAGCGTCTGTGGGGTGGGGATGCAGGGCAGGCAAGAGTCAGCCCCCTGGCTTTGGCGGAAGTCTCCCCAGCAATCCCACGGTGCCCTGGACGGCAGGATGGAGTGTGGGCCTGGGCACCTCAACGCCTGGGGGTGCAGCAGTGGCCAACATCTAGCACTGTCGTGGGCAGGCCCTGTGCTGTGCCTCCCCGTGCACCACTGATATGATGACTGAGCGATTATCTTTTCTGGGCCTGTGCGTGCCGTTTCCGTGGGGGCTTATGGGTGGTCCAGAATTGAGGCCCAGGACGCGACACCGCCCTCGAGCCACACCCCTCCCTTCCCAGAGGCTCTTGTCCCCTCGGACACATGTGGCACCTCCTATCCTCCCCCTCCAGGACCCTCCGCTCCCTCCACAAAACAGACTGCATCCTCCTAATGAGACGTCTGTCCCACGGGGGCCCCCTGTCTTCCTGCTACAGACACAGACATGGGCCCAGGAGGGAGGTCCTGATCAAGGAAAAAACAGCCAGGAAGAGTCGAGTGTGATCTCTGGTTTCATGCCGTGGACCCCACTGAGGGGGTTGGCTCCCCGGCCCAGGGTCCTATGGCCCCATGAGAGGCCCTGGAGACCCTTGCCCGGACTGCAGGCTCTGGAGCAGCTACGAGACATCCTTGTGGTTGGGAAGGTGTGGTAGACACACCGGGTCACACAACTGCTGCTTTTCACCCCAACTAGCTTACACACTCCTTTTGCATCCTGCCGAAAAGATAATCTGGTGAAGCCGGGCTCGGTGGCTCAGCCTGTAATCTTGCACCTTTGGGAGGCTGAGGTGAGTGGATTGCCTGAGCCCGCGGGTTCGAGACCCGCCTGGGCAACTTGGCGAGACCTCATCTCAACAATAAGTCAAAAATTAGCCGGGTGTGGTAGCGCGCGCCTGTAGTTCTAGCTACTTGGAAGGCTGAGGCGGAAGGATCGCCGGAGCCCAGCAGGTCGAGGCTGCGATGGCCGGGAGCGGCCACTGCACTCCAGTCTGGGCGACAGAGTGAGACTCCAACTCAAAAAAAAAAAAAAAGACAATCCGGTGAAACAAGTAGCACCTGACTTGCTCAAGGCAATCCTTGAGCCTAGATTATATGGTTAAATTAAAAAAAAAAAAAAAAGCACCTTTTATCATTCTTGTTTCATTCTGGTCATGGAGGCCCGACACGGATCCCACGTGAGAGGCTCAGTGGCTGCTTGGGTGTGACATCCAGGCCAGCAGGTGAGCCTTCCAGAAGCTCTCCTGTGTCTGGGTCCCTCAGTACTAGCCCCAAGAGGCCGCTCTTCTAACCCTTAACACCACAGGTGAGCTGGGCTCGTCCTTGAACCCCAGCTTGAGTCACACGATGCACACTCCATCGCACCCGCCACACGTGCTCGCCGCGGCCACCGGAGAGAGCGACGCGTGTTCCTACCTGCGCGGCCTTCCTGGCGTTACCCCGCATGCCCCGCTGTGAACAGAACAGTCTGTCTGCCTGGGCTCTCGCTGGTGAGCTCTGGGCTGTGTCCAGCTCTTGCCTGCCGTGCTGAAAGCCGTGGTGAATGTCCCAGTGGGTCTTCTGGTGGCCACACTCTCACATCACCCAGAAATGGAGCCGTGGATCCATGTAGACACTGCAGAGCCGTCCACCGTGGTCAAAGACATTCACACGCCCGTCGACACGCTGGACTTTTTTTTTTTTGCAAGTTTATTGGCCCTTTGATCAAGGAAAAAACACAATAGGATGTTACAAATCGAGCTTTAAGTCACTTTTTTTGACATTTAAGTAGATGGGTTACCTTCTTGCCACTTATTTATGCCACAATCCCCCCTTTTAAAGCCTGAGACACCACATAATCCACCCTGTTAAGTAAGCATACACCCGGTGGTGAATAGGATATCCTCAAGGCCGTGGGGCTGTCACCTTCTCTGGGTTGGAACGTTCTCATCCACCTGCCGGCAGCCTCACCTCAGTCCTCCATCCACGTCCCTGGAATCCACTGTGTACCTTCTGTCTTGACAGATCTGCTTACTCCAGACGTTTCTTGTAGAGGGTTGCATTTTTTTACTGCCTTTTAACGTCTGTGCGTACTTGTGGGGTGCATGTGATGTTTTGGTACATTTGCCGTGCAGTGATCAGGCAGGGGTCATTCGCCTGTCTGTCGCTTAGGACTTCTTTGTGTTGGGAACATTCCACGGCCTCGTTCTGGCTTTCTGAAGCTCCGTGTTATTGATAATTGAGCCCTCCTGCAGCAGCCCAGAACACCGAAACTTACCTTTAACCCATCTCTTGATCTTTTTTCCCCAGGACCCTAAACACTTCAAGTCGGAGAAGACGGGGCGGGGACAGCTGAGAGAAGGCTGGAGAGACAGTCACCAGCCCATCATGTGCTCCTACAAGCTGGTGACTGTGAAGTTCGAGGTCTGGGGACTTCAGACCAGAGTGGAACAGTTTGTCCACAAGGTGAGCAGCCTGGCCACTGTCTTCACTGCCAGGTTGAGGCCCGTGTTGGCGACAGGTCCGAGGTGCTGAGCCCACCTCAGGTGACTGCGCCTGAAGACACATGCTCGCAGACATGCACCACCTTCCTCCCCTGACAGCTTTACCCTTTGTCTTGTTCTGTGGCCTCCGTGTCTGTGGGGTGGGTATCCTCGGGAAGGGGGGCGTGGCAACACTCTTCTGGCCCGGGCATTGGGCTAGTCTGCTTCCAGGTGGAGGCACTTGGAAAGAGGCCAGAGGCGTGTCTGTGAGCAGAGCCCTTCGGGAGAATTCTCCCCAAAGACTGGCAGGTGCAGATGGAGCCAAAACGCCCGTCATCCCGTCAGGCAGTCCACGCGGCGTGTCTGCTTCTGTAACAATGCTCCCACCAAGGAATCACGAGCCGCCTTGGTGGCAGGTGGCCATTCTGGCCCCATGGGCACAGCATGTTAATGTGGGAGCAGCAGCCCACCTAGTGACGAGTCCCGGCTTCTCTTCTCGGGTTCCTGGCATGACTCTTGTCCTCTTGGGGAAAGGCAGGGTTGACATTTGCCCTCTGTAACTGTTCCTGCTTTCAGGAAAACAAATCCAACCCCTTCTCCCTCTGTGCCTCTGCGGTCCACACAGGCTGACCGTCTGTTTGCTGCTCCACTTAAAGGCTGAGAAAGAGTCGCTTTCTGGGTTCTGCTGAGGTCACGGGACTCCTTTCTGTTCCTAGATGGATTTGTCCACTCAGATCAGGGCCGATGACAACACAGAGTTTAATTCTTGACTGTGGGTCCGAGGAAGCGGCTTCAGCCTCCCGAGTCCTCATAGCGAGGCTGGTGGTGACAGCAGCCTCGGGCTGAGTCTGAGGGCCCTGGGGTCTCCTCCCACAGGGACAGTGCCCATCCCCCGCTGGGCTCAGGGCCCCTCCCGCCAGCCAGGACCAGCATGGCTGGAGGACGTGGGACCCACAGCCCTTGCGAGTCCGGTTCTCAGATGTCACAGCTCCTGGAGTACACACGTCCCAGCCCGGCTCTGTGTCCGTTGGGGGCTATGTCTTCCTGAGCCTCCCCTGTCGCCCCTTCTTTGCGGCTTTCTGACATGGAATGACCTCCTTTTCCCAGGCCACCATCTGCAGGTATTCCGTTTCCTCCCCGAAGCTCATTTTCACTGCTCAGGGCACGCATCTCTACTCACACGTGACTTTGGCCAGTTTTGAGAATCTGTTTCCCTCAACTACCTGTAGGGTTTGTCTTTGATCAAAGGCCCTCCCCCACCCATCCCCAGATGGCGTGGTGTCCTGACACCCCATAGACACGCCTGCTGGGGCATGTGGGCCACCAGGGAACATCTGAGGTGTGAGTGGCACAGGCCAGGGCATCAAGGATACCTTTCCAAACACATTTTTTTCTAGGAGTCTATCCACATTAAAAGGAAAGGCGTCCTGTTTGCAGCCGGCATCTGCGCTGTGCTTCCTGAACGGGGCACCTTCAGGGGCGGTTCTTTTGATTTCCATGCATTCGACACACTCAGCGCCCAAGTGTCTGTGGTGGCCGGCTGCTTCTTACGTGCGTGATGTTTGTCCTTCCGAGTCATGACAGCCTCGCTCGATGCCCAGAGGCCTGGTGTGATGAGCACTTCGTGAGGAATGCTTTCCTTGTTTCTGAAAATGCACCACGTTAAAATCACTTATTGGGCGGGACTCAGTGACTCAGCCTGTCGGTCATCCCAGCACTTTGGGAGGATGAGGCGTGTGGATTGCCTGAGCCCGCGGGTTCGAGACCAGCCCGGGGCTGTGGTGAGCTGTGATCACGTGCTGCTGCACTCCAGCCGGCGTGACGGAGAGAGACTCCGACTCAGAAAAGAAGAAAATCACTTATTGAAACACACTTGAGCGCCACGGAGACTCTAGACGACGGTGGGATTTGCTTGGCAGGAGGAAAGGGGGCTGGAGGGGACTGAGTGTCCGAGCCGCGTGAGGTGTGTTTCTAGAGGGCAAGAAAGCACGCCCCGTGTTGAAGTCACGAGCGCAACGTCCTACACACAGGACGCGGCCTCTTCCTCGGCCTCAAGCGCCGCTGGGTGTCACCCTAAAGAGCCACGTCATTCCTTTGCCTCTGGTCACACTGGCCATCCCACGTGCCTGGCCTGGTTCAGACCTCTTCCCTCTTTTGCTCCGCAGCTAAACTGCTTTGCTGTCTTCTGCGATGTGAAGGTCCAGCCCAAGGGGATTCTTATCTACTTATCCACACCTTCCTTTCCTTTTTTTTCCAGTCAGGGTGTTGCTCTGCCACACAGGCTAGAGTGCAGTGGCACCTGATCACAGCTCACCACAGCCTCCACCTGCTGGGCTCAGGCGATCCTTCCTCCTCAGCCTCCCAACTAGCTGGGACGCTAGGCACATGCCACCACACCCAGCTAATTCTGTGATATTTTTTCATAGAGACAAGGTCTCGCTATGTTGCCCAGGTTGCTCTCGAACTCGTGGGCTCAAGCCATCCTGCCTTTGCCTCCCAAAGTGCTGGGCTGACAGGCGTGAGCCACCGTGCCCGGTCCCTTCATTTACTTTTTGAAAATGGAATCAGTATTGAGGGCATTACACCAGAGAAGAGGGGATGTTGAGTGTTCTTGGCTAAGACATGACCTGCTGGCAGAAACACTCTCCAGATTTCTGGCATTTCTGACCTCCTGGCACGGAATACACGTCTTCCCACGCCCACGGGTGAAAAGTGAACATAGTTGTAGTCAAAGGTGACGAGAGTCCTTTATGTAACTGCTGCATGACTGCCCAGTGGCTGTCGTCGGTTTCCTCACACCTGCCCTCCCCTCTGATGAGACGGAGGCTGGCACCCTGGGGGATGCACACGGGGGTGGGGGTGAGCAAGCGTGACCCTGGCTGTGTCAGTCTGTCCCTGTTCCCGGGGACAGGGGGCTTGAGCTACCCGTGACACCAGGAGCCCAGAGGTGGCAGCACCCCACACGCAGACAGCTGTCATCCCTCCGGTGTTTCAGCCCCTCTCTCTTCCTCTCCAGGTGGTCCGGGACATCCTGCTGATTGGACACAGGCAGGCCTTCGCGTGGGTGGACGAGTGGTATGGTAAGTCCGTGTCCCCATCACGTGTCGAGCCGCGCTGCAACCTCCTCCGCTTCTGCTGCTCCCTGCAGGGCACGGCGAGGCCACCACTTTCCGTGCTAGAAGCAGCACTGTCCGCACAGCAGAGATGGAACCTTAGAAGCTTGTTCCATTAGCAGGGCATGGTGGCGCATGCCTGTAGCCAGCTACTTAGAAGGCTGAGGCTGAAGGATCACCTGAGCCCAGCAGGTGGAGGCTGTGGTGCCCGTGATCATGCCACTGCACTCCAGCCTGGGTGACAGAGTAAGACTCTGACTCAAAACAAAAAACAAAACAAAACAAGAATCTTGGTCCAAAATAACCACAGAGTCCAGACGGCTCACGCCTGGCATCCCAGCACTTTGAGAAGAAGCCAAGGCAGAAGGATCGCTTGAGCCCAGGAGTTCAAGACCAGCCTGGGCAACATAGCGAGATCTCCTCTCTACAAAAAAAAAAAAAAAAATCAACGAATTAGCCAGGCGTGGAGGCACACTCCTGTCATTGCAGCTACTCAGGAGGCTGAGGTGGGAGGTTGAGGCTGTGGTGAACCGTGATCGTGCCAAGGCACTGTGGCCTGGCGACAGTGAGACTGCCACTCAGCAACAACAGAAGTAGAATAATCACAGGGCAGTGTGGGATTTAGAAAAAAATAAAGTAGCAGCAGAGGTCCTATCTGAGCAGGACCTTGGGCCTGTGCCACTCACCTCACGGGCATGGGCTCCCCGTGCGCTGCCGGCGGTTTCACGCCCACCCCACGTATCCCAAACATCAAGTTAAGGCCGGGGTTGGTCAGGTGTCAGCAGCACTCTGGTTCAAGGGCCCTGGAAGCAGCCCTCACCCGACACATGCGGGCTCTGCAGGAGTGCAGGGTGCACGGAGGCACGGCCACCCACGTGCGCCCTGAGACTGGCGACCAGGCCCTTCTGCCGTGACATGGGAAGAGTTGGACAAGTTCACATTTCTGGCAGGTGGTAGCAAGGGAGGCTTCACCGTGGGGGCTAGCTGCCCCCCAGAGCACACGCAGGAGAGGCCGGAATTCCCAGCCTTTTTTGGGGAACAGCAGGAAGGGTAGCTGTGCCCTGGGCTCTGGCCACATGTAGCTCTGTGACCCAGCCTCTGACCCGACGGCTGGAGTCCTGGGCAGGAGGAGGAAGGGAGCGTGCCCGGCAGGCAGGCAGCCAGGCCAGAGCTGATCTCTGGGTTGACTGTCAGGTGCGACGCCTCCTCCATGGCCTTCTTCTGCGCCTGCTCATTTGTCCCGAGCATGACCTCGGCTGCGTCCTGGCCCTTCCTGCCATCATGTCGCCAATTTCCTCCCTTGTTTTAGCAGAAGGCTCCAAATTTAGAGCAAAGGGATGCTGGCCGGAATGGGTGCAGCAGTGATTTGTACCAGTGTTGGGAGCTACTCTGAGCCACATCTAAAGACTCTGCAGGTCCCAGGCTTTTTGTTTACCCCCGCAATTTTCCCAGCTCCGCACCTTCTGAAGAACACACACGTGCACGGGGTCTGTCTGACGTGGACTGTGGCTCTCACCCAAGGCCGGATGCCGCTCCACAAAGCCACTCACCCCCACTGCCACGAGGCCTCCAGAAGGCCTCTCGGCTCACGGCTTTTGTGCAGCGGGAGGAGGGTGTATCCCTGTGATTGTTCCCTCTGATCTTTAGATAAATCATGCTGGGGTTTTGTCTGAAGAGCTTTTCTCCGATTTTCAGAGGGGAGCAGACCCCCCCGCAAAAAGCCAGGAATTCTGGCCTCTCCTGCATGTGCTCTTCAGAGCCATGGCTCCTGGCTACCAATGCCAAGGGCACAGAAAGGGTGTTTAAAGATTACAGGTTCTGGCCAGGTTCAGTGACCTAGCCTGTCATCCCGCGCTTTGGGAGGCTGAGGTGAGTGGATTGTCTGACCCCGCGGGTTCAAGACCTGCCTGGGCAACTTGGCGAGACCTCATCTCTACAATAAATCAAAAATTAGGCATGGTAGCGCACTCCTGTAGTTACAACTACTTGGAAGGCTGAGGCGGAAGGATCGCCGGAGCCCAGCAGGTTGAGGCTGGGCGACTGAGTGAGACTCCAGCTCAAAAAAAAAAAAGATTACAGGTTCTGACAGATGGAAGCTTGACTAAGAGGAAGGACACTCGGGGCCCCATATCTGCAGGACAGGTGTGCCTCTAGCACCAGATGCCAAGAGTATCTTCAGAAAGAAACAACAGGAAGGGTAGCCGTCCCCTGATCACTGCGAGTCAGAAACGGATTTAACAGGAGGCAGGATAAAAGAAGAAAAAGGAAACATGTGCAGGGAGGCAGCAAGAGAGAAGCCAGAAGGGGATGGGGCTTGCTCTCCCATCTCAGCAGAGCCTGGAGTGAGGAAGAGACTTAGGATTTTTAATTTTAAAACTTTTGTTTTTGAGTCGGAGTCTCACTCTGCCGCCCAGGCTAGAGTGCAGTGGCACACTCAGGGCCACCACAATCTCCACCTGCTGGGCTCAGGTGGTCCCTCTGCTTCAGTCTTCCAAGTAGCTGGAACTATAGGCACACGCCACCATGCCTGGCTAATTTTTTGATTTATTGTAGAGACAAGGTCTCACCAATTGCCCAGGCTATTCTCGAACCCATGGGCTCAGGCAGTTCTCTCACCTCAGCTTCCCGAAGTGCTGGAATTATAGACATAGGAATTATAGAGCCACTGCGCCTGGCCAATTTAAAAACTTTTTAAAGAATTTTCCGGCCATGCACCGTGGCTTACGCCTGGAATTCCAGCAGCTTGGGAGGCAGAGACTAGAGGATGTCTTGAGCCGAGGAGTTCAAGACCAGCCTGGGCAGCTGGGCAAGACCGCGTCTCTCCAATAAATCAAAAAATCAGGCCGGGTGCGGTGGCTCAAGCATAATCCCAGCACTTTGGGAGGCCGAGGCGAGAGGACTGTCTGAGCCCATGGGTTCGAGACCGGCCTGGGCAACATGGTGAGATCTTGTCTCCACAATAAATCGAAAAATTAGCTGGGTGTGGTAGCATGTACCTGTAGTGCTGGCTACTTGGAAGGTTGAGGCGGAAGGATTACCTGAGCCCAGCAGGTCGAGGCTGTAGTGGCCAGGAGTGTGCCACTGCACTCCAGCCTGGGCGACAGAGCAAGACTCCAACTCAAAAAAAAAAATCAGTCGGGCGTGGTGGTGCATGCCTGTAGTCCCAGCTACTCAGGAGACCGAGGCAGGAGGATCTCCTGAGCCCAGGAGGTCGAGGCTGCGGTGGCCGTGAGTGTGGCATTGCCGTCCAGCCTGGATGACAGAAACCCTGACTCAAAAAAAAAACCTACTGGCTTACCGCGTGACTGTGGACCAGATGGGATTATAAGGACTGTTTAATTAATGGAGTCCAAATTGATTAGACCAGAGAATCTTAGGGTCTTCAGGGTCAACTTCTACCATCTGATGCCTTGTGAGAACTAGAAACAAGCACCCTTTAGACTGGTGAGTTGGAAAAGGCATCATCTGGGCACACAGCAGGTCCATGGCCTGGGGTGCCCTTGAGCCCTTTGACCTCCCAGCCTGCTGGCCTGGTGCATGGCCAGCACCTGGGCTGCAGGGCCACACAGATTCTTGCTATTGGGACCTGCCACCTCCGGCTCAGCAAAGAGTCAAGATCAAAGGACATCACAGAGGTCATGGCCTTCCATCACCCAAGGATGAACTTCGTCTCTCCTGAGCTCAGCACTCGGCATCATGACAGACTGTGTGCCCTGCCTGTCGTGAAGAGCAGCCATGTCCATGCTGGAGGGCTCAGACTTGTCCAAAGCGCTGATCAAGACACAACAGCATGGGCAGAAGCCAGGTGAGGGGGGAGCAACAGAAAGAGGCCACCGGTTCCCGAGAGCAGGGTGCTGCTTGACAAACCCGATGGTTGTGAGAAATGCAGGACACTGCAGAGGGAGCCTACAGCGGACCTGAGCCTCGTGGTGTCTTGGAAACCCTAAGCCTTTCCAGACAGGAGGGAGGAGGCGCCCGGCCTGGTGTGGGTGAAGCCGCCTCATGAGAGTAACTCAGACACCAGCCCAGAGTCCCCAGGGCTGGCCTCACCTGAGGACTGAGCTCCCCACTCCAGTGGCTTCCAACGCATCGGGGGAGGTGGGTGCATGTGTGTTTGTGTGTGTGCGTGCGTGTGTACCCGTGCATTGACCTTTCTGGGGAGAAAGCCCAGGGCTTTCCATCAGACTTTCGGAAGAACCTCTGCGCCTCCCCTGCCTGCACCCCACTCCCGACTAAGACCCACAGACAAAGTCACAGCTGGGTGATGGGTCTGGAGCCCCGGGGCTGGGGGCATGAGAGTGGGGGGGCGCCCTTCCCCAAGGACTGAAGCGAGTCTCCCTGAGCTTTCCATGGCAAGCACGCGTTGAGTTAGAGTCACACCACAGGGTTAAAGGCTGACACGTCCCCGAGGACGCGCACGGCCACGGGAGCCAGCAGAGTGTCCCACCTGTGTCTGGCTTCCGGACTCCCGACCAAGCCTTGGGTTTTGTTTTTGTTTTTGTTTTAGAAAGCAGGATTTGTGGAGAGGACAGAAAAGCTCCCACGGTGGGAGGGGACCTGAAGGGGGTGCCCCAAGCCTTGGATTATGACAAGAATGATGGGAAAAGCACTTTCGTCTTGGCTTCTGTCTCCACCAAAAGTCGGAGAGAAGGTGTTTGCGGGCGGAAGTGAGGCGGGGCCTGGCTGCGCGGGTCTCTGGATGAGGGGACGAGACTCCCCCTTTTCAAGCGGTTGCTGCTGCAGCTACGCAGCAGGAGGGACGTCCAGCTCGGGCTCTGGCCTTGTCGCCTGCCCAGATAACACCCGTCCTGGTAGACGCTCTGGCCTCCGGTGCCGCAAAAGCAGCCTCCCTCCCCAGCAATGAAATGATCACCGCCCTAAGCCGTGTTGAAAGACCAGGGAAGACATTTGCAGCCATGTGGGCCACAGAGGGTTGGCACCATGCAATATGCCACAAGACCCTGGTA